GTAAGAAATTCATAAAGATTACTTTGCTTCCGTGAAATTAAAGAAGAGTAGATGCGATTTCTTTTTGCTAACGACGACCCAGCCAACTCGTTAGTAAGGGTATCTGCTTAAAACGACCAGCCAGAAAAACATAAATTTTTTCCACTACATGCAAAATCAAGCACATTGCTATTAGAGAAAATAAAAAAAACTTTGAACGACATTAATCTCTATTCATATCTCTCATGCCTCGTCACACATACCAAGACTTCTTGTGCTAAATGAAACAAAACTTGAGATGAATAATAAGTCTGAGGAATCAGAAACTGGGTATTTCTGCAGCTATTCCAAACAAACCTCAACTTGAAGTACCCAAACATACTGTAAATGAGTGTATAAGAGCTTTATAAATAAAAATGTTTTACAGTCGTGGCATATCTCTCCAAACTGCCAAGTATACAGAATTTTACGAACTTGTGCTGCATAAATCAAAAATGCTTTCACCAAAAAACTTCCTTTTACTGGAGGTTTCTTTAATATATCTTCAGTATCAAGACAGTTTATTCGTGAAAATTGTTGCAGAAAAATGAACGATTCGATACCGTATTTTGACGAGGTAGACGACTCATTAAGCAACTGGTCGGTCATACTCAAGGACTTTCCACTGCATCCACTCTCCAACAATTCTTGCAAGCTGAAACTTTTATCTTCAGCTCGAGAAGCAAAACCCCCTTTGTTTTTCTGAGAAGGCAGTGAAGAAACAGAAGAAGGAGAAGGCCTATGTAACGTCCAGTTCTGAATTGAAAAGCTGGAAAGAGTTGCAGATAATAATCAGAAATGACAATTTCACACCCCCTAAATTTAAAAAAAAAAATAAAAAGTAAAATGTGACATAGAATGCCAGATTTTTAGCTGAAAAAAAAAAACAAGTTTCTTAAGAAAAATATCAAAATAATAAATTATCCTTTTAAGTTTACAAGAACTTTGAAAAAAAAAAACAAGCGGCAGACCTTGCCTTTACAAAACCAAAAACATTAAGAACGGTGATGAATATTACAAGAAAAATGAGATTCTTGACAGCTAAATAATTCATTTACTGCCTGAGAGTACAATAGGATGTTGATAAAGTACCAGGCGACTCAAACCCAACAACTAAGTTTTCTCTGTATAAAATTCAGAATGACCAATTTCTAAATTCCCCAACTGCTGAAAAATTATGCATTATTCTTCTTAGAATGACCATTCTCTCGCCAAGGCAATACTGACATTTTCCGCATCCGTTCAAGAGAAAACTGGATGATATGATACAGTTGAAAAATTGGAGCCCTATCTTTTAGTATAACAAAGAGACTCAAAAATGACAAATTAAAAATAAATGACAATGTGATTCAGATTTTCAAATAACATTAGCTAAGCGCACTATTTCAACAAAATTTTACCTGCTTTCGTTGATTGGTGAACAACTAGGTAATGAAGGAAGCGAATAGAACTTCATACATTTTACTGAAACTATCAGCAAAGACGATGGCTCGCATTTTACAACTGGAAAAAAGTGTTCTTCAGTAAACTCGCCGTCCACCTTCGAAATTCTATTCTTTTCGCAGCAATTTTCCACAAACTCATCACAAAGTATTCTGAAGAAGAAAAAAGGATATTCACGAGCAAAAAACGTGATTGAATATTCAACAAACCGTAACAAAACAGTCTACAAAAAACAAAAAAATTTTGCAAGAAAAAGTATCGCTATCACCTGAATACAGATACTAGACCGTTAGGTAGTTTACCACCATTATTTATCATCCAAGAATTTAATTGAGAAAAGTGGAGTTGGGAACGCACAGCATTTTTCAGAAAGAGTGGATCCAAAGCCTTCAATTTCGTAAGCACAATTAAGAACTGAATTAAAGCTAGGCTACCATCCAGTAAGACTGCTAAATGTTTCTCCTGAAGAAGTGCACGAAAGTCTCAAAAGGAAACAGACCTTAGCGAGCTTTTTTGAGCATTGGTTGAGCCTCTGTTTGATAGTCCACGTTTCAACTGGTAGAACACCCTCACAACGAACACCAGTACGAGCACACCGCTCATGGACCAGGAGTGTTTCAATTCTGACAGGTTTTTCGACAGACAAAAGATGTTCAGCTTCTTTAACATTAGCATTTACCAAGCTCTCCTCATCCTTTAAAACCCCAGTGGTTCTGCTCTCAATAATTATACGTGCTATTTCAGCCCCAACTTCCATCGCCAATGCGAAGATCAGTACTAGGTCAGATTATGTGAATTACATTCTTGATAATTCTAAGCTAAAATAGAAAACAACTGTTAAATACCATTGAAAACTCAGAGAATTTGAATGTTTACTGCGGCCACTGCACAACAGAACTGTATATCAAACAGAATCAATAATAAAGTAAAATCAAAAAGCCAAGCAAGAAAAACGTTATCCCTGAGATCGTGTTGAGTCAATAAGCAAAACATTACAAATAAAAAACACTGTGAAAATCATCTATAATTTGTAACTCTATTAACAATCGGCAAAATTTCTATTACAAAGTATACGAGAGCGACTTAGTCCAATCTGATGTAGCATAAAAGGCGCGGAAAAAAACAAATGTCAGATGTCGCAGTGGTCAGATTATTGACAAAAATTGACCCTTTGGATGAAAAGTCCTGAAAAGCTTTTATTGACTCCAAAAGCGAAAGCCCACTTAGAAACCGCTATATACAGAAAGTTATGAACATCAGAAAGTTCGATTTAACTAAAGCCAGTAAATAAATTACAGTAGAAAAGTTGTCCACGTCCCTGTTTATTAACAATGATGAATCCAAACAAAGTTGGGAGATGAAGACGGCTGAGAATTCAGTACTACAGAATCGGATTTATGTACTAAAAAATATTTAGTAACACAAAACGAAGACACACAAAACCGTCGCATTTACACTGATTCTTCATGTGTCACAGAGCAAACAAGCCTTCCTTAATTGATTTGGTTAGAAAACACCGTTCAAGAGCATCAATCATCTTTCTATGCCTGTACTAACAAAGAAGTATCAAAAAGTTCCTATCTTTTGTAAATTTCACTCTTCTTTTTTTTTAACTCTTCTCAAGGTTGAACCGAAAAAAAAGTATTTTTAAGATGGGAGCACCACTAGCGGTGCCTAAGTTTGGATGGTACTGCTCCCTTACAACGTCAAATCATCTCACACTTTGTTCTTAACATAAAATCCTTCAACAGAACAAAGTTATCTGGTAACTCCAAAATTAAAAAACTGTGTTCAGTTACTGTGCGGAGAGCAAAGTTTTCTAGCACTCAAGTAAGATAAAAATAAATAAATAAAAAACCTTAAGAGGTAGTAAAAAATGAAGAGATGTCAGAACGACATACCAAAAAGCAATGCAAAGACCAAAAGATGAATTGAAAACAAAACTATCATTTTGAAAAGGCAAATCAGGATTTTATCTGCCAACGCTTATACAGGGCTCGATAGATTTAGGAAAACAATACTACACAAACTTTTTCAACACCTATAACTTAGCAGAGGTTTTTCGGAGATGTCATACAACTCATGCCCAGTGGGGTTGTTCTTTAAATCTTCTAAGGCAAATATAAGTAATATTAATAGAAGATGCAATTTCAACTGCGGTATTAACCTTGTGCAGCCTCCCAGCTTTAAACTTTCCCTTTCCAATATTACTTTTACTCTTCTTAAGCACAATATGACAGTTATAATTTGAAAAAAAAAAAGTAGAACACCCTTCACATCTCGACAGACTAACTTATACATCAGTTTACAACATATGAACTACAAATTTTTTCAAAACCCAATTCCTGTAATGGTTCAGTGATACAAAATAGTAAGCTTAAAATAAGTTTTGAAAAACTAATCAAACTTCACTAACTGCTTGGTAGGCTGTTTCTGCGTATATTTAATCTTTGTCAAGACAAGTTTCTCTAATTAAGTAATATATACTTTATTAAGTGACCAGTAAGAAGCAAGAAAAATTCACTAAAATAGAAATTTTTAGCAGTAAAATTGAACAAGTAACCTTTAACGTCAGATGGTAACAAAATTAAAAGGACTACTAAATAAATTTTTTTTTCAACACTAAGACTTAAATAACACATTTCATTTGCCTCATAAATTGCAGTTTTGCTGATTTAATAGCATAGAACACCAGTACCATCAACTGATTCGATTATAACGCAACAGTATTTTCATTCTAAATATTATAATCTAAGGGCAATTATACTGTAAAGTTGAACAAAAGCCCCGACAATAAAACTAGAAATACTCAACACTTCAAATACCTATTAACAACTATTTTCTCTGGGGAAAATGTTAATTTGAACAACAATTTCTGCTTATGACTGCATAATCAATAAGGGAGGGTTTTTGGTGTGACGATGCATTCAAAACATTTTGTCGATCTTTGACAGGTAAAGAATAATAGGTAAGTGTTCGCAAGCATTAGCTGAATACGAAACCAATGTAATAAGATTGAAAACTAGCGTTAAATGAAATCATCACTACTGATTTTACGTATAAAAGTGCTTCAACCAATACCAGCACACTCAAACTTGTAAACAAAAAAAACCCTAAGATGCAATATCATAGCAAAGTTTTACTTAAAAGTGAAAGAAGTAATCATTCTTAAAGTACTTATTGCTTTTGAATTTAATACGACTCACAAATCAACAAAAATTTTTAATCATTTATAGTCAAAAGGTAATTCTAAGAAAATCATTTGCATTTAAAAATACCTTTGCCCCATATTCACACTGTTACTAACGTTCGGATACAAAGTTCGCCAAGATCTTTGAAGTAGAAAAAAGACTCTGAATCATTAAAAAATAAATGGTATTTTTCTTCACATAACTGACATTTTTTTAAAATTTAATAGTTTTGACATCTTAAAGTTCAATTAAAGAACAACTTTTAAGAAAAAATGATTGCTAGACAGATCAGTGCTTTTAACGCAAGACTACGAGGTTGACTGCAGCAGTATTTCCTGTAAAACAGATCTTTCTTTATAAAAGTGGACAAATATTTTATTTTAAGTTATTTATCCGAAAATCTTAAAAGATCAAAGTGTTGATAAGCAAAATTTTCTACTTTTCATGCTTGACAGCTCAATTACTTATATTTCTTACCGCGACACCATCAGTGGCTGAATCGTCTCAACAAATAAAGACAGAAAGAGTATTCATTTAAAAAAGACCTCATCAAGCTCCTCTAAACTTTGACGAAGAATTTATTACGTTACAATGGTGCTCTTACTGAACTGAATAAACTAAAATTTTTGTAATTTTCTGGGGCAATACTCTATTTTAATAACTAATTCTACAGACAATTACTGCCTAAATTCTCCAGGCTTCTGTTCCATCTTCAAAATTTTATCACTTTTTTGAGCCCAAAGTGACAAGGAAAGAAATAACAAACAGTGTTCACTGCGTTCGCCCTGACATTCAGCAGACGGTAAAAAGGCTGAGAAAGTTTTGGTAAAAGAAGCGTAACGGACAAGGTTACTATAGTTTGACAGTTTAATACAAAGCGGAGTGACAGTAAACAAAGTACACAGATTTGAGAATCTTCACTGGTCAGACATCAGACATCAGACTCTAAAAACAATTCAAAGATCGAAATGTTGTCAGAGAACTGTAAAATTTCAAACAAGCCGGTAAACTTTCTCGGCCAATAAACAGCACTTCTTTCCCTAAGAACTGATCCATAATATGCAATAATAAAAAAGTATTTTGTCAGACACAATAATCTGTTTAAAAATTGTAAAGAAAATGAGCTACGACTATGAATCCGCTCTTCAAACAACTTACACCTCAGACAGGTTTCTTAACTGTTATACACTTTCAGAAAAAAACTGCGAGAGTAATTTTGCTCTAGAACTTTGTCAATGCTCAAGTCTAAAAATAACAAGTGTTATAGCTATTTTTTATCTACTTATAATTCACGATCTTACAACAAATTTATAAGACAAACCAAATACGCACAACATTAAAGAATTTTGTTGCATTCAATCTAGTGATACTTCACTATAACCCTTAATTCAATTACGATAGTAATTTTCAATTTCCCACTGCCTTCCTACTCGTAACAGGAAAGTTACAGACAATAAGTATTTTAATCCCGCAACAGAAAAGATAGCTATACGAAACTATTAAGCTTAGATCTGAGAAGAAAGTTCAAAAAGTACTCATTGTCCGACACTGTCCATACATCATCGTGACGCAACAGTTTCAGTCTGCGAATCTTACAAGTTGCGCCTTGTTATCAACATCCAGAAGAACCTGAAAACACAGTATTAAGTCTACTAAGCAAATAATTTCCTATCTTGAAAAAACTTCAATTCAGAGAAATCAAATGAAGCAGAGAAGGAAAGCCTAATTAAGCCAAATAAACGCAGAGTCCTATCTTTGAAAAAAAAAAAAAAAATGATACTCCCTAAGCTCACTCTCTACATGAATAATAAAACATAAAAAATAAATAAATAAACAAACAAGTAAATAAATGAATAAATGAACAAATAAATGAATAAATAACAAATAAATAAGTAAATAAATAGACAGATAAATAAATAAATAAATAAAT